GAAACATCTGGATCTATGACCTTCTCTACTTACCTTCATTCGCTCTCTCAGACGCCTAAGAGGCTTAAGAAGAGAATATTAGCAACATGGACACCAGACCAAGAGGTCAATAAAGTCAGGCTCAGGTCTGGTGCAGACATGAAGAGAAAACTAACCTGGTATGATTTAGTGGCTCTTGGAGTTGGAGGAATGCTTGGTGTCGGAGTATTCGTTACTACCGGTCCTGTTGCTCTAGATATCTCCGGTCCTTCTGTTTTCATTTCATACATAATAGCAGGAATATCAGCTCTACTCTCTTCTTTGTGCTATACTGAATTTTCCATTGAGATTCCGGTTGCTGGTGGCGCATTTAGTTACCTGAGAGTTACTTTTGGTAAGGAAAATAATCCTTAACCTCTTTTAATATTATTATGAAGTTTGGGGAAGGCATGAGCTTCAAACCCCAGACATTCTTTTACTAAGGGGTAGGACTAATTCTTTCTTTTAGACATGTCTTCATTTAGCTGTTCAGCCTAAGACAGAAAGTTGCTCATAGTCTGAAATGATGCAGGAGAATTTGTGGGCTACTTTGCTGGTGCCAACATACTGATGGAGTACGTCTTATCAAATGCTGCTGTTGCAAGAAGTTTCACGGAGTATCTCTGCACTGCTTTTGGAAGGAACGATCCAAACTCATGGAGAGTTGAAGTGGATGGATTAGTAAAGGGTTATAACATGTTGGACTTTCCAGCAGTTGCTTTAACTGCTGTTCTAACTCTGTGCTTGTGTCATAGGTTGATCCCTTTTAATTCCTGCTTCCAATCATTCCCCAGATTTTCCTTTTTATATTTGTTCTAATTATATTTCTCATACCAGTTAGTTAGTAAGACAGCTTTTAAGGTTTGTATGCTGCCCTGATATTCCGTTCTCAATAATAATATAAAAAAAAGTTTGGAAAAAGATCTCAGCAAACATGCCATAATAACTCATGCTACTTGAAAAAAAGTTGTGTGATTGAATTTTGATCTTCATCTGGAACATTTGTTGCATCAACCACTGGAGATGGCCGGTATAGTGCGCTGTTCAGCCACAAATTACTATTATCTGGATAAATTCATTGGATAAATTCATTGATTGAATGAAATTTGAAATGCAACTTTTTTTTTTGTTAATGTGATAGAAGTGACACCAATACTATGATCAATCTTAGCATCTAGTGCTTCAAGAGAATTATTGTATTTTCATAGGTATTAATTAACATAAATATATAAGTGGCATTTGATAGCGATGGCTTTTGGTTTTTTGTTTTCGGAAATTTGCAGTACAAAGGAAAGCTCAATTTTGAACCTAGCGATGACAGTGTTCCATGTAGCTTTCTTTGGTTTTATTATCATTGCTGGTTTTCAAAATGGAAGCCCCAAAAACTTGATCAAACCAGGAGGCCTGACTCCTTTTGGTGCTAAGGGAGTCCTTGATGGTGCAGCAAAAGTCTATTTCAGTTATATAGGCTATGATTCAGTTTCAACAATGGCAGAAGAGATCAGGAATCCTTCAAGAAACCTCCCAATTGGAATTGTGGGTTCAGTACTTATTGTTTCTGCACTTTATTGCCTCATGGCCTTGTCTTTGTGCTTGTTGGTTCCTTATAACCAGGTCAGTGGACAAAAATATAAGCGAATCATTTTATTCAAGTCTTTGGAAAAATTGAGGTAAAAAATCCTGAAATACACACACACACACACACATATATGTAACTTCTCATGATTTGATACTATGTTTCAAATGATTCCTAGATTCCAGAGAGGGCATCGTTTTCGGTTGTTTTTCGAAATATAGGTTGGAAATGGGCAAGCAACTTAGTAGGAGTTGGTGCAAGCCTGGGAATTGTGGCTTCTCTCCTGGTTGCCATGCTAGGCCAAGCAAGATATCTTTGTGTTATTGGGAGGGCCCGGCTTGTGCCATCCTGGTTAGCTAAAGTGCATTCGAAGACAGGCACCCCACTAAACGCAACTATATTCTTGGGTGAGTTTTTTCAACCAATGAGTCTCTCAATTACAACCCTTTCAATGGTTTTCGTCTGCTTGCAAAACGTTTTCATAATAGTAGTACTCTTTATTGAAACTTGAGTTAATTGACGGAATTGTATGTGGAAGAAAGAAAATTTGGATGATTATACTGAGCCAAATTCTCAATTTTTTGAGACCTTAGTGTACATTCTTTTACTATTACTTTGTGCAAATATGGGAAATTCCAGAATCTCCTTGTCTCAAAAGGCAAATATTGCTCTACTATTTTGACCATATGATTATACAATCATTATTCATTCCAACACCCGCCCGCAGAAACACCCCCCGGCCCCCAAAAAAAAAACCCCCAAAGGAAAAAAGAAAGGAAAAGTTTTTCCTCACTTAATGATTGAGGTCTTTCTTGAAAAGCAAGAAAGATTTGCACTCATAATCCCACTCTTGAAACGAAAACGTCTTTATGATCTTGGGGAATGATATACTAGATTTTCTTTTTCTCCTGGTTTAATCGATTGGAGATCATGAATCCCTGCAAAATGATAGCCTGCTAGAGGCTGAGAAAATGCAGGAAAAGCTTGTCGTTTACTGTTACACTTGATGCAAAGCACTTTTAGTAGAGAATTGCGGATAAAGTCAACGTATGCCTGATGGTATTCTCTTGTAAATGCTTAAATGTCTATCTTATCTTGTCCTTTCATTTCAATGTTGGCAATTAAATCTTGATAATCATCGTCATTATATCTGTATGGTTCTTGGATGTTAAGTGATCCCTCATCAGTTCGTTGAAACCATAAACTTTCTAACCAATCAAATATGAATTAGGTTGCGAGTCTGATTTAACATTTTGGGAGTAGTTCTCAAGTTGATGATGAGTCATATCTGTTGGCATAAGTTCAGTAATATGATGGATTAGACAATAGAGAAATTAAAGAGCAAGCATTTGTACGGTGTAATTGGTAGAATTAATACTTGTAAATTTTATATACACTGACGGTGTATACACTATCACAGTTGGATATGCGACATATATACAAAATTTGAGTTTCAAATTCAAATTTTTATGTGTCGTATATCTAACGGTGAAAGTGTATACACTGTCAGTGTATAGAAGATTAATCATAATACTTAATAGTGCTCTAGAACTCGTGCAATGTTACTGTTTTTGGAAGGCCTATAAGGACCAAAACCTTCTGAATTCCTCTGATCAGTTTTATCACAGTTCATCATGGCCTTGCTCCAATTGATTCTGGTTGATCTTTGTGCTGAAGTTTTTAACTTTATGGTACCATAGATGTTCATGAGCAAACAATTATAGGGGAAATTACACTCGTTTTCCAACTTTTCCAAGCATCAAGACCTAAGAGCTCAAAATTTGTTTCTGCCAGGGAAACTACGAATGCTACAACGTGTAACAGAAAAAACTATATATCCATGAATTTATATGACCCATTAGATTCCAAATCTTGATGCAGGATTTTGCCAAGCATCAATTGCACTCTTCACAGAACTGGACATTGTGATTGAGATGATCTCCATTGGAACCCTTCTGGTGTTCTACCTGGTGGCTAATGCTCTCCTATATCGTCGATACGTAATCACAAGCAGCCATCCTCCATTCCCCACTCTCCTGTTTCTCATCCTCCTCACTTGCACCTCAATTGGCTTCTCCATTTCTTGGAAGCTGAAAAGACACTGGTGGGGTCTACCATTATTTGGTGGGCTGATGATCACTATCACTGCCCTTTTCCAATATCTTATGGCCCCTCCTGCTAGCCAGCGCCAGGAACCTGCCAAATGGTCAGTGCCCTTCATGCCATGGCCGGCTGCAATATCCATCTTTCTCAATGTTTTTCTCATGACTACCTTACAAAAGCTTTCCTACCAAAGATTTGGTATATGGGCATGCTTTATTACTTTGTTTTATGTAGTGTATGGTGTTCACTCTACATATCAGGCAGAAGAAATGGAAGTATGTGTTGATAATGGTGTCACCACAAACTCATCCGTTCAGCCGACAAAGTTTGATATCCAAGTTTTATAATGAAAGGAACCAGTTTTGCTTTGCTTTTCCATTTCTCCGATTTTTTTTTTCTTACTATTCAATTAGTTGTTTTTGTTGAAAATAGTGAATTTTATGAACTATTTCATGAAATTCTTCTTGGATTCTTGAAATTTTGACCCTCTCTAAATTAAAAAAGCTACAGGGACTAAATATAAGCCTGGTTGGTTAGTCGAATTTGGGAGGTGCATTCTAGGCAGGGAATGAAATGCATGCGCTGCCTGGTTGGTTACGTTGCCAAGAGCAGTTTCCAGTTTGGGATGAAACTTCTTAACGGGCCTTCTTAGTTAATGAGAAATCTGGTAGGCTAAGACTAATTGGGCTTCCCTGGCCCAGAATATTCTCAATTAACAGGCCTAAAGCCCTCCTGAAAATCCAACAAACCTACTGGAGTTTCATCAGACCTACAACAAAGCTACTCTAGGCCTAGGGGTCCATCAAATACTTAGGACTAATTGGGCTTCCCTGGCCCAGTATATCCTCAATTAACAGGCCTAAAACCCTCCTCTGTGCCGACCTACAAGTCAAAAAAGAACTTAGCCCCTTTTTTGTGATCACTAAAGAATGTTCTGATATCTCATTTGAAAATTTTCAACTGCATGTGGAGTTCGAACCTACAACATATAATCCAAAGAAAGACTTGATTCTTTTTTGGTGACCACTGAACTGTTTGCTAGAGGTACTCTCACTGTGCCACTAATTCCAAAACACATGAAAACAAGTTCTATGTGTTTGAATGGATAGTAGTTTATTTGATATATTATTTAAAATAATTATTATAACACTTGTGAATTGTGATGTATATGAAAGACAAAAAAATTATTCGAACGATAAAAAAAAATATATTTATAATGCAAGTAAATAATTTTTATACAAATAATAGCTATCCAAACGCACGTGTTAATAGTTAACATGTAGTACTACATAGGAACATATAAGCACAGGCAACATTTATATTTAATCCGCTGATCGCAAAAGCTGGAAATCCTGAAAATTCACTGTCCCAAGATCCATTGATCATTTCAGAAAATCTACAGCCTCACAAGACAACATTGACGCGTATGTACTTTTACTGATGTAGAACCAAAGTTATGGCTTACAGATACAGATGCCAAGGAGTTCGCATTACATAACCTCAATTATAATTTCTTACATAAGTTAGAACTAAAGATTTAGCCAAAAAAAAAAACTCTCAAGAATGCCAAAAAAAAAAAAACAAAACTATTTAATCTGTAGAAAAGCTCATCTTTTCCCAGCTGGAAACTGGGAATAGCTCACACCTTCCAAAATCACCACCCGTAAATCCCAAACCCCCAGCCCTTAGCTACGTTTCTGGTGCAGCTGTGATCTTCACCTTTTTTCTCTTGATCTCCATCAAACTCTGTGCAAGAGCATCAACAATCTGTCGCTGTGATTCGAGTATCAATTCATTCCGTTTCATCTCCATCTCCATTCGATTTTTCTCCATCTCCCTTGCGATATCCATTTTCATATTTTCCATCTTCATGAAACCTTCTCCCAACATCTTAATGGACGAAACCATTTCATCAATTGAACTCCGCCCCCTTTTCGCCTCTCCTCTTCCACCACTGTCGCCGCCAAAACCCCTCTTCTCAAATCCCAACCTTGACTGATCGTAAAACCCATTCAAACCTCCAGACGATTCGAGATCAGAATCCAAATTTTCAGCATACTTTCTCCTAGTGCCAAGAGACACCCATGACCCATCCTTAGCCTGATCAGCATCAAAACTCCTGTTCACCTTCCCAATCCTCTTCAGCCTAAGTCGCGGCGGAACCATACTCTCATCACCCAAAGTTTGCATATGAAATCCATCACTAGCTTCAAAACCTTTGCCTCCTAGAGATTCAAACTCAAAACCACTCCTAGAATTCCCTAGAATCTTGCCAAAGTTCTTCCCTTTAAACCCCGTAAGCCCTGGCATTCCATCATCAACGTTCTTAGCGCGAAACCCGCCATGGAAATCCATTTCTTCCTCATCTTTATCAGATCCAATATCCATGTACGAAGAGTATCCACCATTGAAAACTTTAGAACTAAAATCAGAGCCCACTTTTTTATCAGCATTTTTCGACGAATTCTTAGCCCTAACACCTTGGCTGAAACCAAAGTTAGGAGTTGAATTGCCATCAACTTTGGTACTTCGGTTTTTAGTACTAAGTTTTAATTTCAATATATTCTGATCGAGAAAAGTCTTCAACGGAAACCCACTAGCAGAATTTTCCCGATTCTCAGGTTCTCGATTCGATCCAGCCACTGAAACAGAGGTTCCATTTTCCATGGCGTCCATATTCTCAAAGAAAAACCAAGAGGAGAAGAATCTGCCGGAGGGGTAGGAGAGTGACCGCTGCTTTTCTGCTCGGTAGCGCTGCCGGAGCTTCTCCATCTTGTGGCGGCACTGAGCGGAAGTCTTGGCGGGAGAAGCATCTGGGCAGCGATTGGTGACAGCTGCCGCCACCGCATCCCAGTCAGCCGTTCGAAGATATCCGCGGCGGAGCGCATACCATCTCTCGCGGTAGGCGTCTATCAAGGCCAGAGTCTCCTCTTGGGTCCAACAAGGCGGTGGGAATTTCCTGGCAGGCTTCCCGGCGGCATCAGCAGCAGCCGGAGCAACGGTTGTGGTGGTGACGGACATAAGCTTGCCTTAAAGATGCTAACTTTATGATGATTGACCAAAAAAAATTTCCCCAAAAAAAAAAAAATTATGATGATTGGTGACAATACTGATGGTGGCGGACGTTAGCAACTATGCTTGGAGTGCTAGCTTTGGGACCGGCGGAGGTGCTGGAGGAAAGCTATAAAAAGAAATGGCATACGAAGCAAAGAAAAACCAGACATGGTAGAGGTAAGTTCCATGAGGTGGAGGCGGACATTAGCAAAGATAGTGAGGAGTGGGAGTAAAAGCAGAGTGGTTGGGTTGGGGCTCCATTGGGTGCAAATTAGGAATATAAAAGAGGCTTGGTTGGGAGGTGAGACAAGTGGCGTAGTGTGGTGGGGTGGGGCAAAGAAATAGTGGGGGCAAGAGGCGGTGGTGGCGGTGGTAGTGTTGTTAGACGGCGCACGTTAGCAGAGGAGGTTAAAAAAAGAAAAAAAAACAAAGAAAGAGTGGGTGAGGTGGTGGTGGGGATAAGGTAGTTGATAGGTGATGGGATAGGGGTGTGGTAAAGCATTGAATTTTTGGGCTCTGATGCAGTGGTAAGAATAGTAATAGGAGGATAGATAGTGGAGTGGGCATCAGGGCAAGGCAGCGGCTGGGATGGGGATGGGGATGGGGATTGGGTCTGGAAGGTGGGTGGATTACGGATAGAGTATGATGATGATGATGATGAGGATGGGCCGGATGATGCTAGCTTGCGCATGGGACGTGAGCAGTGCAGTACACCCCACAAGGCCGCAACTACTCCACCAGTTCACCACCACACCACAGCCCCCCACCCATCCCATCCACTCACCTATCCCATTTCCATTTCCATTTCCCACCACTCAACTTCTAACGCACAACACCACCTATTCTTTCCCATTTCCATTTGTCCTTTTGTCTCTCAAAATTTGCCCACCCACCATCTCTACTAATAGTTGTGGACCGGTTGAGAAGGGGGAGGGGGGTTTTGGGCATGGTTATGGCTTTGCGTGTAAATTTCTTCACTCGTAATCTGGTTGGTTGTGTGTGACTGCGTGTGACCCCTGGTTGGAGCCATAGATGCAGTAGGTTTTGTCCAAGTGGTGGATTTACGGTAGTGTCCTACTTAAAGGGACTGGTACTCTGTTTGTTATTATTGAAGGTAATCGACTAATTGTCCTAAACCCCTAACTTTTGGACCCTCTCTCCGTCGGGATTTTCTATGTAAACTTTAGGGTTAATCACAATTAAGCCCCTGGTTCGTATTGGTTAATCCTATATGATCTCATGTTTGGTTTGGCTGTGTTCTATGCATGGGAGGATGCATCCCACCTGCCTGAATTAATCCTCTACATGGGAATAAAATAATTCTATGGAAGAAGTGGTATGAGTTATTCTGAGATGAGTAAAAGTTGGGATGATGACAATTAGAACTTATTTACCCTACTAATAAAAAAATGTTTTATTCTAATATCTATATAAACCTAATCTCTAGCTATAATATTATCTAAATCTTGAACTAATTTTCCCTTATTAATCACATAATAAAATTTTGAATAAATTTGCTCCTACTAATAAAAAATTAATTTTTGGACTAATTTAATCATATTAATGATATACAATAATGTTGGACTGATTTGCCTACGTTATCAATAAAACTAAATTTTCACTCATTTACTCATATTAATGAAATAACTAAATTTTGGACTAATTTAAACCCATTATTAATAAATTAAAATTTTGACTGATTTGACTCTACTAAATTTTAGACCGATTTATCCATACTAAAAGCAAAAGTAAATTTCATACTATTTTGGCCCTACTAGTTGCTTATATAACCATATATTTTTTTGTCAAATTAAATCCATAAAAAGTTAAACATGTAAATTGAGACTTGTGAACCCATTTAATAAGGTTGAACTTGGTCCACAAAAAAAAAATTATGTGTTGGTCGGTCTTGGCTCTTACCACACAAAGTTCACATATTTGTGCTGCTTATTAATATCAAACTCATGTTCAAATCCATCAGTATATATTTATATGTATGTGTATATATACACACACACATACATATATAACTTTTTATACGACAAGGCTTAGCAAAATCCAAACATCCCTAATGTTTGCCAAAAAAGGTGTTTTGATCTATTAATAAATAATCCTATCTCAAATCAAATATAAAACGAGGTTATTTTCTAAAACATCCCATCTATCATAAAAGCCAACGAAACACTGAATAACAAGATTATTCATGAATCATGATGACTCAACCGAGGATGTACAATTCCATGAAGGGATAATTTCATAAATCTTCCCTGAGGTTTTTGTCAGTTGCACTTGCCTCCCCTCAACTTCTGAAAATATCACTTACCTCCCTTGACTATGAATTGGGACCCATTGCTGACATAAGCTGCTGCATAATGACTCTTATACCCTTAATATTTGCACTGAATAACATACGTAATTTCGATAAAATATTTTTAGGACTAAATTTGAAAATAAAAGAAGAAACCGGAGTCTTGAACGAGAAGTAGGGGTGGGCGCGGATCGGATACCCGCCCCATTCACCATTTGGCTGACCCGATCCGCACCTTACGAGTCAGCCATTTTCTGACCCTTACCCGCCCCGCATATCAACGAGTACCCTATAACGGGTACCCGCTGAGATAGGGTCGGATCAGCGGGTACCCGCTCCGTCCCGTTTATTATTTAATTTTTTTTTTAAAAATGATTTATACCCATTTAATTTTATATTTTACACATTCATCTAAGATTTAATAATTTTTTTTTCTACAAAAAGATTCCCACCAAGAAACAAGCATATGAAGAGAATATAAGATAAAGGATAAAAATTAAAAGAATTCAAAATCAATAAAAGTTTAAAATAAGTAGCACAATTTTTAATATATATGTTTCACATTAATTAAACTTTTTTCTATAAAATATAAGATCATGGCCTTTACAAATGAATCTTGTAAATAAACTATAGTCTCTCATATTTGTAATGTAATTTGTTCAATAAAATTACTTATTTAGTTCTAACTTATTATTTTATAGTGTGTGTATAAAAAAAAAATAAAAAAAATAAAAAAAATATATATGCGGGGCGGATCGGGTACCCGCGGGTTTTTAATTATGTGACCCTAACCCGCCCCGCATCTTAGCGGATACCCGACTCTCTTTTGACCCGAGCAAATAATAAAAATCGGATATCCTGATTTTCGGATCGGATCGGATATGACGGGTTTTCAGGTTAACGGATAATTTTGCCCACCCCTAACGAGAAGAGAGGAATTGGCACGAAAGCAATACTTCCAATCGCGCCATAATCTGACAATTATGTATGATTGCAGATTGCTCTTGTCATATATCTCCTTTATATTACTCATATCTTTACTATTGTGTTGAGAGTTGAGAGAAAGAAAGATTTCTAGAAGGAAGGTTTGAGACATAAAGTTGTGAGACAATCAATTCTTCCTTGAATCACTGCTGATCTTCACAGCAACAGAAGTTAGAAATTTCGATTACTATGGTTTTACAAGGCATTTTGCACAAACTATTTTTATGATCATACTTAATTCATGTTATTTAGGTTAGTTTACCATGAAAACTGAGTTTTAGATTCTGATGATGATAACATTATGCTTGTTTAGATTAGTTATGCATGAAAGTTTTGACTTTTAGGTTGTGATGATGAAAATATAATGTTTATTATGTCAATAAATATCATCTACATCAAATAAGTTATTCATTCTTTAACAAAATAAACTACAGAGCATCTGGTTTGTGTAGATCATGACAGATTTTCTCTAGTAGGTAGTAAAAGCAAAATAATGTTGTGACATTATAGAACTAATGAATGGAGTTTTGTAGTTTTCATGTGAATAAATGGCTCTTTTAAGTGATATAAGTAGTTTTGCAGCAATATAGTGACAAGGATGAAAGTACTATAGCTTGGAAGAGGAACGTTGTTCTATTCTACCTATATTAGTTACATGATTTCTAGGATTGCTAAACTTATGTGTTGCTTTGATAATGCTGATCAGGTGATATTTCTTTGTGTATTTCATGTATGTTCAGATGCTCTTCATGTGTGTCATGTTTGTTAAAGTTACCAAATGTAGTACTAGGTGTACACCAGTTTAAGATTGAAGCCTTATTAAGTAATTCATTTGATGTTGACAAAATCCGAGTTTTTGGGAATGATCTTTCTAAAATCTCTCATTTACTGAAATCTCTTATTAAGTGTGTTCATGCTGTATTAGTCTTTGATTACCAATATCTTAATGTTGAAATTACAGGATGGGAACTCTTGCTGCTCATGACATTGTTGTCCACTACATGGGGAAGAAAACTAGAATTCCCAATGTAGATCCTCAAAGATATTCTTACATGCAACTATTGAATGATGTTGCTGAGCGGGCATTGAGTGACATGCTTGGGAATGTGAATCTATTGCTGCACATGAGATGTGGAATTCCAAAAACTATATGTAGCATGGATATCATTGATGATCAATCTGTGAAGGAAATGTTCCAAGTTCATAAGAGTGAACTTGTAATCAATCTGTTTGTCCTTGACATGGATAGTATACCTAATGAGGTTGGTAACAATTTAAATGGTCAATCTTTCCAAGAGAACTTGAGAATTGATAATAAAGCTGGAAGACAGATTGAGTACTTTCAAAATTCTGGGGATGATGATGAGTATTATGATTCTAGTTCTGATGAGTCATGGAAACATCATTTGGGCAGTGATAAAGAAGATGGTTTAGATGATGATCGAGTGTCCCTTGCATCTAGTGACAGCAGTGACTTAAACTTTTCTGATTTTGAGGAAAATGAAGATGATAATATTGTTCCAGATTCTGATTCTGAATCTGAGAAAATTCCTGATTCTATAAAAGAAGTCATGAAGTCCAAGATGTGGACGTATAATCCAAGAGATGAGATAGAGTTTGAGAAAGGTCAGCTATTCACAAATGTAGATGCTTTCAGAGTAGCATTGAAAGATTATGTGATTCAGAAAGGCTTTCCAATTGTGAGGCTTAACAATGAAAAAAAGTCGATGCACTGCAAAATGTGGTGGTCAGGGATGTAACTGGAGAATTCATGCATCTCCTATTGCTGATTCCGTGACTTTCATGATTAAGTCATACAATCCCAAGCATACATGTGTTATGAATAAAAGGATTGTGGAAGCTACATCAGATTGGATTGCAAAGAAGTTAGTAAGTGTGCTCAGAGATCATCTAGAAATGTCAAGGGGGTAGTTGCTGCAATGAGAAAATATGGTGTTACTCCAAGCAAGATGCAAGTGTATAGGGCAAAAAAGAAGGCACTTGAAGAGATAGAAGGCACGCATAGTGAATCTTATGCTAAGCTGCCAAAGTATGCTAAACTTGTGAGAAGTACAAATCCCGGAAGCATATGTAAAATTCATTTTATGAGACCAAATTTACAGGTTGAACCTACATTCTTAAGGCTCTTTGTCAGCTTCAAGGCACAAAGAGAAGGCTTCCTATCAGGTTGTCGACCATTTGTTGGCTTTGATGGATGTTTTCTCAAAGGGCCATATGGAGGCGTGCTTCTAACTGCTGTAGCCTTTGATGGAAATAGTAGTTTATTTCCCCTTACTTTTGCAATTGCAGAATGTGAGAACAAAGAAACGTGGAGTTGGCTTTTCTACTTTTTTGAGGAGTTTTATGGTCCATTTGACAACAACATACCTTGGACATTCATGAGTGAGAGGCAATAAATATACTTTTTCATTCATCATTACTCATTTTTTTGTCTCTGTTTTGCACTTCTTATTGTATATAACTGAGTCCATTGATTTTTTTTTTTTTTTTTGGGTCGGGACTAAACCTTGCCTATGAAGAGAAAATTCCCATTGCTGATGCTAGGTACTGCTGTAGACATATCTGCAGCAATTTCAAAGCTCAATTCCCTGGATTGCTACTAAGGAGCTACTTTTGGCAAGCAGCTAAGAGCTTCGATATTATTGGCTTCAATGAAGCAATGGAAAGAATTAAGGAGCTGAATGTGGAGGCATGGAAGTACTTAGACAAAATTCCAAAAACAGCTTGGGCAAGGCACACAAGAATGTTCCTAGAAAGCCTTCCTCAACTGTGTCATGGAATTGTTGAAGCTAAGGAACGATAGCCCAAAGACTCTGCAAAAGTATTTTAGTGTCTGTGATTTTGTCACTACTCAGAAAAGTAAGCATAAG